ACCTATTCCTTGTAGGTTTTTTCCAATGTTTTCTTCTAACAGTTTCAGAGTTTCAGGCTTTACATTGAGGTCTTTGATCCATTTGGAATGGACTTTTGTGCAGGGTGAAAGATAAGGGTTTCGTTTCATTCTTCTACAGATGGAGATCCAGTTTTGCCAGCACCGTTTGCTGAACATGCTGTCTTTCCTCCAGTGAATGTTCTTGGCCTCTCTTTCAAATATCAGGTGGCTGAAATTGTATGTACTCATATTTAGGTCTTCAATTTTGTTCCATTGATCTACAGGACTATTTTTGTGCCAGTACCATGTGGTTTTTATGACTATAGCTCTGTAGTATAGTTTAAAATCTGGTATTGTAATCCCACAGGTTTGCTTTGGCTGTCCAGGGTCTTTTGTGCTTATGAATCTTAAAATGTTTTTTTCCAATTTTGTGAAGAATGTCACGGGGATTTTTGATGACATTGCATCGAATCTATAAATGACTTTTGGTATGACAGTCATTTCCACAATATTAATTCTTCTAATCCATGAGCATGGGAGGTCCTTCCATCTTCTGATATCTTCCTCAATCTCTTTCTTTAAAGATTTAAAATTTTCATTGTAGAGCTTTTTAATGTCTTTGGTCAGGTTTATTCTGAGATATGTTATTTCATTTTTTCTTGCAGCTATTGTGAAGGGGAGTGTTTCCATGGGCTCTTTCTCTAATTGCTTGTTATTGGTATATAGAAAGTCTACAGACTTTCGTAGGTTAATTTTGTAACCTGCACTTTACTGAACCTTGTTAATAATTTCAAGTTTTCCGGTGGAGTTCTTAGTGTCTCTTAGGTATAATATCATATCATCTGAAAAAAGGGATAATTTGATCTCTTCTTTTCCAATTATTACTCCTTTAATGTCCTGCTCTTATCTTATTACTCTTGCGAGAGTTTCAAGCACTATGTTAAAGAGAAGTGGAGATAGTGGATAGCCTTGTCTGGTTCCTGATTTCAGTGGGAACGCTTCCAGTTTTTCTCCACTTAGAATGATGTTGGCTGTGGGTTTGTTGTATATGGCTTTAATTATGTTGAGATATGCTCCCTCCAGTCCAATTAATTTCCTCTAGGACTGTTAATGTGAATGCATATTTTATATTGTCAAAGGCCTTTTCCACATCTATTTAGATGAACAAGTTATTTTTGTTTTTGAATCTATATGAATTATAAATTT